CAAGGTTGTATCATCTGCATATCGCAGGTTGTTAATGAGTCTTCCTCCAATCCTGATGCCACGTGTTTCTTCATAGAACCCAACTTCTCATATTATTTGCTCAGCATACAGGTTGAATAAGTATGGTGAAAGAATACAACCTTGTCACACAACTTCCTTAATTTTAAAACATTCAGTGTTCCCATGTTCTGTTAGAAAAACTGCTTCTTGGTCCAGGTACAGATTCCTCATGAGTACAATTAATTGTTCTGGAACACTCATATTTCGCAATGTTGTCCATAGCTTGTCATGATCCACACAATCGAAAGCCTTCAGGGCCACAATATGTTGGAGCCAATTCCTGGGCACCAAACACCACCACCCAGATACTAGGGCAGCTACTCACCTCTCTCTACTCTATTTACTTAGCTTGTGAATGAAATAGGTAGAACCTGACTCCTCCTCACTTGCCACTCCCCCATCCCCCCACAGCAACCCCCTCAATGCAACCACCTGACAAGATAAAAGACCCAAGCAGTTTTCCAAGAAGGAAGTATACAGGGTTTGGGGATGGAAACCCATTATTAGTCACAGGGGCCCAGAATTTAAGTGGGGATGGGCAAGTATTGTTTGTGGACATCTGGGTCTTCTGACCTGGCCTTCAGCTTGGCAGGCTCCTTTTACCACTAACCCTTGAATGTGAAGAGACAAAAGGTCTGTCCATTGTGCCCCCACCTCCAGGTATCCTGGAGCCCCAGATACGGTCTTAGTACAGTGATAATGGAATTTATCGCAACTTCGGTTTAGGCCAGATTTGAGGGTGGAAGATGGAGAAAAGAGGAGGGAGAGGATTATGTTATTGGGCAAAATAACACCAAGCAGAGAGAGAGAGAGGTGTGGGCCTAGACTGGAAATCTCAAGGCTAGATGAAATTAAACATTAATGACTCAACCTGTGGCCATGGAAGTCTGACTCATGAGGACACTAAGGGTGTTCAGTGACTGATGTTTCTGAAGTAAATCAGCAGGTCTTTGGTCTGGATGGATTCTAATTGTTTAAGTCCTGGTGCATTGGAAGAAGTGCAGCCAGAGTGCTCCTTGGAAACCAGCATGGCCAAACTTCATCTCTCCTACTTCCAACGTATTATCAGGAGGGATCAGGTACTGGAGAAGGATATCATGTCTGGTAAAGTGGAGGGTGGGAGAAAAAGAGGAAGACCCCCAATGAGCTGGATTGGTACAGTGGCACCCGCAGGCATAGCAACAATTGTGAGGTTGGCCCAGGACGGAACAGTGTTGTGCATAGGGTCGCAATGAGTAAGTACCGACTCCATGGCACCTAACAACGACAACAGAATCCTGGGGAGTGCTGTAGGATAAACAAACAGTTGGAAGATCAAACCCACCAGTCACTCCTCGGAAACCCTATACAGGGTCTCTATGAGTCGGAACCGACTCTATAACACTTAACCACAAACAAAACCCACCTTCTGTGAGTAGCCAACAAGAAACAGTTTGCGTCACGCTGGGACCCTGACCACCATCTGTAAAATGGGACTAATCATAACGACCTAAATTATGAGATTCAGATGAGTTAATATTTAACTTGCTTAGCACAAGATGTCTGGTATCTAGCCAGCTAGCTCTCAGCAAATAGTCGCTATTGTTGTAACTGTTACTACACACTCGGGTATCACTTTCAACTGAAGCAGCTCTTCCATTCTAGACATAAGCCAAGGCCCTAGGATACTGCAGGGATTTTTAAGACAGTGGTTTTCCAACCTATGGGGGTGGTAATAGTAGAAGGCAGGGATTTTCTTGCTTCTTCCAATTCGCCAAGAAAATCTTCATGGGCAGCATGAGGCGTGCAAGGGTCTCCCTGTCTTGTTTTGATCCTAAACGCCTTCTCCTGGGAGTGAGTGCGCCCTCCGCAAGCGGTCCCAAGAAAGCAAGAGTTGGGGAGCCCGGAAGCCCAGTCCCCCCAACCCCTGTCTCCCGCCCGCCCTGGCGGCAACCCTCGGGGGCGAGGCAGCCGTGCGCGTGGGAGGGGACGGCGCGCCATTGGCTTGTGCGCTGCACAGAGAGGAGGGACCAGCGCAGGCCGCTAGACTAAGGTACACCCTGGTCGCGAAGGGTGCTGCGAGCAGTCTAGCTCTGTCCTGCTCTGCCCTCCCCTGCGCCGGTGTTGCGATGTGAGGCGCCTAGACCGACCGTCCACGCTGTCCGTTAGCCCTGCGCAGCGCCGGCGCCACCATGCACTAGGCACGTAAGTTTTGTTGCCGCCGCCGCCGCCGCTTCCGAGCCCCGCACTTTCTCCTCCGCCGCCGGCTGCCGGCTGCCGGTGCCTGCGCAGTGCAACCCGGTGGGGTTCCAGCGGCCGAAAGGAATGCAGGGGCTGGCGGGGAACCCGTGCGCGCAAACCGGGTGCCTCGGAATCTCCCAACACCTGCCAATTCGCCGGGACCCTCCTCGGCTTTCCTAAGCGCGGTCCCGCAGCCCCTTTTTCTCTTCACGCTCTCCTCTCTCCTTCCGAGTGGGTTCCCTGTCTTCTCCGTCACTCCCCCTCTGCCGCCGCCTCCTTCTTGGACTGTTGATTTCACCCTCTACCTCCCCTGGGAGAAGCGTCTTTCTCCTTTAGGTCTGCTTTTGTTCCTACCGCGGCCGCTCTGTTCTCTGTCCCCTCCCGCCTGTGCCCCCCCCACCATTGTGTCCCAGTCCGAGAAGTGCGTGGCACAAACTTGCAAGCAACCCACCCCACCTCGGCCTCCTTGTCACGCCCCCGCAGGGCTGAGGACAGAGGTGGCGGAGTTCCTGTTGCCCCCAAGTATGGCTCGATCTCCTGGTTCCGGGGACCGTGGGGGCAGGGGTACTGGACCGGGGGACCGTGGGCGCACAACAGTTCCCCGCTTAGGGACCCTAACTCTCCGGTCCCGAGATCTCAGAAAGTGAATGAGTGTCCGGAACTGGGCGATTAGGAAAAGATTGGAGGGGGGAGGGGCAAGACTGGGAGAGACCCCCGTCCCAAGGCTGCCGAGGATCCAGCAGAAATGGTCGCCGATAGGAGCACAGGTGGAGAAAGACTCCCCCCTCCCGAGCCGCGGGCGTAGGAACGGGCAGTGTAGGGTCACAGGTCGGGCTGGGACCCCTTTCGTGGACAATGAGCCCCCACCCACTCGGGAGCGACTGGGATCTGCTGGGGGACAGTCGGAACTGCCGACTCCACCTCGGCGCGCCCCAAGGGGCCCGGCACTAGCTTTGAGTCGCCTCCCTTCTCCCCTTCCCCAGTCCTGATCTCTTTGCCTCTTTGCGAAGGGGGGTGGGGGGGCAGCGGGTTTCTATGCGGGGGGGGGGCGGGGGCGGGGGCAGGAGCGGGGCAGAGAACCAGTAGCTCCTGGCGCCAACTAAGCTCAGCGCCGACTGCCAAGTTTGCCTCACTACCCTTCACTTCCTGGTTGGTTTCCTTCACACAAACTTTTCTTGGTAGGGCCCATCTGAGAGGAGAAGGCCCGGGCTGAAGGGAAGATCACCTAAGTATGGCTCTTTAGACCTCAGCTCTTGTGGCCTGGGGAGAGGGATGTTTTGTTGAAGAGCCAGGAGGGGGCACTGTCCACCCCGTTAACCACAGCCCCACACTCAACAAACTCGGTCCAGGGGAAGAAGGGAAAAGTTTTCTTTGCTGAGTTGTTAGTAAATAAGACACAATATATTCTCCAGTCCTCAAGTCCCATCTGTAAAATGAATCGCCGGAGCCCTCAGGTCCCTTGGGGTCCCAAAACCTGGGAGCCAGACGCCCTGGCCCACTAGTTATGTGCTTCATGACTGCTGAATTTGAAGTGGAGGGCCTAGTCCCAAACCCCCTTTACCCAGGCCTGGCTGTCCCTAAGTGCTGGTTCCCTTGCTCTGGGCTGAACTCCCCCCACCCTCCATACAGCCGCCCCTCCCCTGCTTTTTCCACAGCCCCATCTCCACGAAGGGAGCTCTGGTGGGCGGTACAACTGTTCAGCTGCAGGGATAGGTTGGTGGATCCAATTCAGCCAGTCTCTCTCTCCACGGAAGAAAGACCTGGTGATTTGCTTGGTAAAGATTGTTGTTGTTAAGTGCTTGACTCATAGCGACCCTGCAGAGGGTTTCCAAGGAGCTGCTGGGGGGTTTGTACCTCAGACCTTGTGGTTCAAACCAACTTTGCAGTCCAGTGTTTTATCTCACAGTACCACACACATACTGTTGTTGTTATGTGCCGCCGTGGAGTCAGTTCCGACTCATAGCGACCCTGTACAGAGTTTCCAAGGCTGTAAATCTTAACTGGAGCAGAAAGCCTCCTCTTTCTCCCACGGAACAGCTGGAAATTTCGAACTGCTGACCTTGTGGTTCACAGCCCAATAAATCCTATGGGATGGCCCTACGCCTTCACTTAGGATCACTCTGTGTGGAGACTACACGGCACCTAACCACACCACCTCTACTAGAGAAGGGGAAAGGGAGGGCCAACCCTACTGTGGAGGGGGAGCAGGGCAAGAAGGGATGGGATTAACAGTAACCCCTGATATTTACACAGTCTCCTGTTACGTGCTTTCTCTGAGTGACCAAAATGTGAGGGCTGCACCCTAAACATTTGTTGAGCAAAGGGCCCGACTCAGTTCCAGGTGTTCCGGAGACAGCTGGCAGACAAAATAGACTCCTGCCTACATGGAGCAGATGTTTCAAGAGGGTATGTGAAAAACTAATAAAATAAATGAGCAGATTAGCTAGGCTATTGGGAGGTGAGGGAGAAAAAGCCAAGTGTCCAGGGGTGTGGAGGTCAGGGTGCCATTACCATTTTTAATGGTAGCCAGGGAGGCTTCCCTGTGGAGGTGGCTTTTGAGTCAAGACTTGAGAGTGGTAAAGGAGTGAGTTGTGTGGTGGATGTGGGAGGGGAAATCATGCAAAAGCCCTGAGGCTAGACTGTGCCTGCCATGTTTAAAGAGACCAGTGCAGCTAGGGTAGGATAAGGCGGTGACAAAGAGATTGGAAACAAGGCTGGGCGAGAATGGTTGGAGCTCTGAATGGTTGCAGATAAGAGAAAGAGGGCCCAAAGGCGATATTTAAGTGGCCCCAGAATCCACATCACCAGTGGGGGTGCTAGTGTTCTGACTCTTGGCCCAAGGGATTTTCCTGCACCCTACTTGTCAGTCATTCATTCAACACCACTGACTGCACCCCTCACAGGTGCCTGGGGACAAGAAGGTGGGAGGTAAGCATCTGGAGCCCCAAAGGGCTCTGATCTCTTGGAACCCATTCCCAGCCCTGTTCTCAGGTCTGCTTCGTACTCTCTCTGTTTCCTCTCCTTCTTAGATCTGCTCACTTCTGATACCCTCTTGGTACTGAGTTGGTAGGGTTAAAAAGGAAACAGGCAAAGAAGTTGAGTCTCCTGGCCTGAAAAAACAAACAAACCAACAAACCTACCAATTCTTATAGAGAATTTACTGCAAAGTAGGTGCTGCTCTGGGGGCTTCTTGTGCATCTATCTTGAGGGATAGGGCTCATCATTGCATCCATTTAACAGATGAGGAAATTGAGGTAGAGAGATGCAATCACCGGCCCAAGGCCATGCAGCTTGTAAGTGGTGGTGATAATTGTGTCTCCAACTGATTCCTACTTACAGCAGCCCTGGTGTCTTGTTGTTGTTAAGTACCATCGAGTCGGTTCCGACCCATAGCGACCCTGTGCAGGGTTTCCAAGGAGCGGCTGGTGAGCTTGATCCACCTACCTTGCAGTTCAAAAGACTTTGCAGTCTGGCGCATTAACTCACAGCGCCATACCAAGTGGGTAGAGTGTTAGACTGCTTTAAAGCAAGGCTGGCAGTTCAAACCCACGAGCCAGTCTGTGAGAGACAGATGTAAGGGTCACTATGAGTCAGAATCAACTTGGTGGCAATGGGATGACCCTAAAGATATTACGGGTTCTTTCATCCCCAAGGTCTTGGAGCTAGCAGTTAAACACTCCCAGGGCTCCTAGTAAGTGATAAGGAGTCCTGGTGTTGCGCTCTAGGATAAAGCACTGGACCACAAGGTCGGTTTGAACTGCAAGGTCAGTGGTTCAAACTCATCAGCCGCTCTTTGGAAATCCTATACAGGGTCGCTATGAGTAGGAACCAACTCAATGGCACTTACAAAAACAAGAAGTAAGTGGCAGAGCCAGGATTGAAGTACAGCCCTTTTGAGTCTCCACCCACTCCATTAACCAGGAAACCAGAACCCCAAGTCCTAAGGAGATGAGGTCCAGGACTTTGCTTCTGGCTCACTTCACCCTGGGGACATTACAGCGACCCTTCTGCCTGCCTGCCTCCATCAACCCATCCAACAGACAAATCACTACTTGATTCTGAAAAAGTTGGTTCAAAATCAAGGAACATTCTGTTTAAGAAATTTTCCTTCCTTCCCCTCCTCCCCTCCCCCAGCCTTGGGGGCGGGGCGCAGGCCAGGGAGGGGTAGATTCTCACAAGAGCCCTGGTCCCAGGGGATGGGGAAGTTGGGCTGGCCTGTAAGAACACCAGATGCCCTTGAGGGCCCTGACCCGGTCACTGGACCAAGGGGGAGTCGGGCCCAGTCCTGGGTCAAAAAGGACAGAAGCTCTCCAGAGCGACACTCAGGCCAAATAAGATTTCTGAATAGCGTTGGACACTTGATATAAGAAAGGACCCACCACTCCTGGCCCTGCACACAGCAGTAGCTTCAGACCCCTGGGTGAGAATGCCTCCCACTCTGCCTGCTAACGCTAACCTCCTCCAACCCACAGGGACTGTTTATGTTTTGTCCCTGAAGCCCTGGAGATGTTTGTGATGAAAGTTTGCTCTTTTCTCAGCCTTTCTGGAAATTGAGCGCCTTCAAAAGAGATGGAGAGACAGCAGAGGTAGAAAGCAAGAAGATTCCAGACATCAGACTGTGTGTGTGTGTGTGTGTGTGTGTTGGGGAGTTTTTTTTTTGGGAGGGGGGGACAGTCTGTAGGGCCTGTGTGTGGCTAGTGAGAAGGCAGGGTTTGGAAGCCAAATCAGCAGTATCAGCGCTGGAAGGAGGCTCTGGAGACCACGTGCACTTTTTTTTTTTTTTAATTGAGCAAACTGAATTTCAAAGAGGCA